AAATGAAAAACATACAATAATAGGACAATTATTTTGATTATTGTGATTGGATTTTATCAAAAAGTTATTTTACAATGAACAACAATTAAGCTAAATAATTGTCCTTTTAACATGTGTTTTCATTTCATTATGAGTTAATGCATGCATAAAAAGGAAATACACTGAAAAATCTGTTTTCTGTTTCCGTTTATTCCTATGTGCTGATTTGATGATTTGATTTGTTCATATTTAGGCATTTTAAATCTTCCATAAAGACAGTATCAGTATCAAAAATAAATAAAATGGTAGCATATGCAGTAAATGGGACAAAAAGTATTAGTAAGTACTTTAATAAAATAATCTTAACTCGAGGTGCACTTTTTCCAAAGCTTTCAACCACATGGCCTTTATCAGCAGATGGAGTTGTCACCTCCACATATTTCTGAACTGAATTGTGGATTGTTTCTTGTCAGCAGTGACAGATGACCTTTTGTCCTTGAATGTTATTAAGATTGATGTTGAGTGTAGAAATTATTGGAGATCTTACAGTCTGAATGTAAGAGAAAGTGTAGGTTTAGTGTCAATGTGTGACAGCATACTGACGGTCCCATCACCCAGCCTTTCTCTATCGTTCAACCTGGATTTCAATCAGGCGCCCCCCTTAGTTCAACAGCATGAGGGTTTGTTAAATCAGACCCTGAGTGCCAGTGAACAGCCATGATAGCCTGTGTGTCAGACTCAGACATGGTATGACAAAGATTCTGAGCGCACAGTTCATGACATTATTATAATTTCAGGTGAGATTTGGCCACCCTGGCAAGATTTCAAAGCATTACTCATGCTGACTCATTCTTTTGCCTCTTTATTCAGTCATTGTCTGCAGAGGTTTCAGGCCCATGTACTGCAGACATCTACAGACATGTCAACATTGTCATCCATCGAAGTTTATTATACTTTTTTGTTATGTACTTTGGCAGATTTGTCATGAATTGAAGTTGCTTAATCTCTTCCCAAAGTCACTGTATTCTCTGTAAGCAGCTACATGCTAAGGATAATCAATGCCCTAAAATAGGATTTTATTGGAAAACATTACTTGATTGTCATATTATTTTTTTCATTTAGTCTGTTAACTGCCCCGGTTCCAGTTATTTAATTCCAGGAACACCAGACTTCACTTCAAGTCAGGGGAATTTGGTCCTTTAATTTCATTTCTCAGGCGTTTTTATCCCTCTAAGTCTGTGTACAATCCAAATGAAGCTCCAGTAATCAAATCTTTTAGCTCTGGCTTAAGGGTTATGGACTGCCAATCCTACTAAAGAGATGATTTGTACACAGCAGGCCTGATTTCAAGAGAAATTAACACGTGTGACAATAAATGCCATCTTTTTATCACTGCGGATAATTACAGAATGTGTGAACTCGATTTAAAGTTAAAGTAAGTGGATTCTCGCAGAACTGGAGTATTTTAAGATTGCCTAATCCTTGAATATATGTGCGTCGTGTCAAATTAAAATTTTAATTGTAGATGAGTAACTTCATAGGACATGACAAAAAAATGTGCTAAATTAATTCGCAAGACATACATATAAACCAGAGTTAATGATGGAGAGCGGACCCACATGCAGTGACGTGGTCCTGAGTGACAGCAGGGAGCATGCAGAGACAGGAAAAAAACAGAGCATGGATCTTGTATATTTGTATGGCTCCACACACACTTTTCTGTCCACACAAAATTCACAGTAATCCATTATGACTATGTGGACAGAACTATGTGAAATTCTTGCTACTTGATTTGGCAGGTTATACCTTATTGCTCTGAAATGACATAAATCTCCCCACAGTGAAATTTTTGCTGATCACTGTCCTGTATGTGACAACTGTCCACTCAGGATGCTCTATCTCTGGATCTAGAGCCGTGAAACATGAAAGGATGTGAAGCTCTGAGGTGATGGAAGAGCCCGATCAGCTGGATAGCACCCAAGTCTGAAGTTTTCTCATGCGTAAAGGTCAACATAGCATTACTGCTACCATTTGCACAATTGCACAGTACGGTGCAGTTTGACAGGAGCAGGTAATGGCTGAAGGCTCTTTTTCACGGATGGGACACCTCAGATGGCCACAGAACAGAAAAGGCCAATATAAGGATCAGGCAGTTTTTGTTTTATTTTTTAAAAATGTAGGTTTAAGACATGCCAAATGAGACATTTTCTGAAATTAATGCTGTCTTGAGGAACTCCTGTTATGGTGTATGATCATGGTCAAACTGATGGCCCATTTGTGAAGATACGTGGATCAACCTTTCACACGCCAAAGCTCTCAAAAGCAAAGTAGATATTTTCTGTCATCCCACTGTCTTGTGTTATCATTTTGTTGTTTTTCAATTTTGCAGAGACTTTTAAGATGCCAAGATGTGTTACGCACTTACTAAACACTTGATACCCGCAACACAAAAATTTTACTGGAACTGCTCATATCATATATCATTGTGTAGGATGATCAGAGACGTTTGATTTATCAGAAATGATGACATGTGTGAAACAGGAAGCAGACTCCACAAACCTCAGCATGTCGCCAAGATTCAAAAAATGTATTGCACACCATGAGGCCCAGCAGTAATTCAGCATCACAGGAGAGTTTTTATGCTAATCTGAATTGGAAACAAAGAAGAGATTTGTCCCCCTTGAAATCACAGAAATGTCAAACACCCTGCTGCAAGCATCAAGGTAGCCATTCTAGCTTAATGGTGTCAATTGTGATGTAAAGTTGCCCATTGTGATATAAAGGTGCATACTATGATGAATGGCCATTTGTTTGAGCATTAGCATATCGGATATTTTATAAGAATAAGTACATTTCTTTGTTTTTGTATTTGCAATGAAATATAGCCATTATGAGCACAAAAGAACAATACAAACAAAAAAATATTAATCAATTCTGCAAAAATACTTACTTCAACAAAGATTTTTTTCATCATGCTAAGGAAGCCTTTTTATTCACTTCAACTCAGTGGTGGGTTGAAGTTACTGATTGAACGTTTCATTTTCTAAATGTCTCCATTTAATTCAGTTGCCATTTTCATAGAGGCATGATGGAAGTTTTATCAAGACATGTGGTTTAAAGTACTTTCTCAAGTACTGTACTTAATTTTGAGGTAGGCCTACCTGTTCTTCACTTGAATATTTCCATTTTGTGCTACGTTAAACTTCTACTACACTACATTTGGATGGAAAATGTGGTACGACACAGATGGGCTATGAAAACAGTTTACAACATTCAGACACGTTTCTGCTGTTCATGTGTTCATCAATACTTTCATGGGGAAAAGAGAGGAGGTATATACTGCATATTCACAAGTCTCACATTTTGAAAAAAAAATTATATATCATTGGCTTATGAATTTAGGTTTATCCAAACATAAAAAAATGAATGCTAAAAATTGCCATGGATATTTCTAATACTTGATGAATGATGCATCAAAATTTAAAGGGGAACTCCACTGGTTTTACCCATCAGTGTCAATTTACAAATCTTGGGGGGCCCTATTTCATATATGAAAACAGTTGTATAAAGCCTTTCCTCCTGGGGGAGCTGTGCAAAATCTGATACATAAGTGATATCACTTGAGTTGGTGTTGGTGAAAACTACGCGTTTTAAAAAGAAAAAAGGAGCCCGCTCCTCATCTCTGCTTGAGGCTACCGGCTCAAGACCAGCTGCTAATAGCATAACACACCTGAATCTCCTACAGAATTGTCACCAATCGCGTTGCATTGTGGGTAACATAGGTGCCAGGTAAGGAGGAAGAATGTGTTGAATAAAAATAACTGTGGTTTTGCTGGGGTTTTGTAAAAAAAAACTGTCTGACAATTTTTTTAGGTGTGCAATGCTAAATTGGTTTATGGATCATGTCACATTACATTATGAAGACATTTTACATGACTGTCACTGACAAGTTCAAGCATATAAAGATAATCACACCTGCCGGTTGACAATGTTTATATATTCCAAAATTATCTTGGCCTGTTTTTGGATGCTGTGTCTGTATGCGTACGCTCACGGATACCCGACTGTTGTGTGAGAGGACCGACTGCTGCAAAAGTATTGTAGGGATACTGACACACATTTCCTCCCTGCACTCCTGGGGGAGGATCCATTCCCTTCCAAACACACACCATCGCCTGAGGGGCAGAGTGACCGCTCAAGCAGTGCCTCCCTCAACACACACTAACACTGAAGCACGTTCATGTTATGCCGTAGCAACATTTGAGCCCATTGATTGGAGAATACTGACTGCCAAATGGACTGACCACCTATTAATGATTAGCAGCTAACCAAGCTGCGTGAAAGATACACTGCTCTCCAAACAAAGGGGGAATTTAGCCCAACTGTTGTAAATGATCACACTTAAGACAATAGCCTTATTCAACCATTTGTCCAATTCAAAATCAGACCACATGTTCCTGCTGTCTATATTTTTTTCTTGAACAGAGCTGGCAGCCTCATTTGCTCTTAAAAACAAAAATCCACACCTCCTTAAAGAGTACATGCACAATCTCTCTCATTGCCCGTCTGTTTACATATTTGTCTTACTCTCACTTTGTAGTTCTTCTCTCTCTTTCCTCTGCCTCTTGCTTCTTTTTTATATTATAGCTCTATACCTCCTCCCTTCTCTGCCTCATGTCATCCTCACTGGCTTCTTCCCTCCGGTCTCCTACTCTTTGCGGGCCTTGTGCCTGACACCTTCCCCAGCCCTTTGACATGCTCCACTTCATGTTACGAGCATCACATGCCGCCTCGCTGAGTTGCCTGAGAGTGTGTGTGTGTGTGTGTGTTTATATGTGTGTATAGAGTGCACGTGACTGCTGTTTTGCGCAGGAGGTGAAGAAAGGAGAAGACAGAATGAACAAGGAGGGAGAGTTTACGCATTTAGCCCGAGTTTGTTAATAATTAATGTGTCACAGGTTTGCAAAATTGCCTCACGCTCCCTCTGCTCAATCCTCCCTTCTTCCTCTTCCCCTCTAGCTTTCCTTTCTCTTGTTCACTCTGTTTTCTCTCCACCTCCCATGTGGCGTGGGCTACCTCACCCTCTCCATCTCAATCTTTCCCCAAACACAATGCTCAGTCTGGTGTTGCTGTGCGCTTTATGGGAAGAAGAAATGCTAATATACTCATGGAGAAGCAGGCAACAAGCGTCCAGCCATGATGCCCACCATGACTCCATCTTCCTGACCAACAGTGTGGGCAGTCCTGGTGACAGTGTGCTGCCATAACAACAGGGAGATGTCAAGCTCACAGTGAAATTTTGGTACCACTGTCAGTGAGAATTTAGGTGCTTTCACTGGCTCAAATATCCATGTTGCAGACCCTGCTGATGAGCTGCTTGTTGCCTTCCAGGTAAGTTTCCGCATGACATAAACTGCTAATTTTTCTAAAATTTAAAAGCCTACTAACACAAGTAAATGAAAGACATTATGGTCATGTCTCTCCTTCTCTTTCCTCTCACTGCAGTGCCCGTCACTATGCCAGCCGTCTAATGCTTCAGGGTGCTGGACTGCGCAGGCGGCAGGTGACACGGATTTCAATAAAAGGGATTATAGATGTGGGGACTGCAGAGAGGAAAAACAACACATTCGTGTACGCATTTAGGGCAGAAGCATGCCTGTGAATATACAGTAGACACATACAAAATTGACATTGTGGAAAATTTAAGAGCTAGCACTGGAAGAATCAATTAAGAGGCAGGTGGAATGTGATCTAAATGTAAAACAAAAATGTTTGTTTAACCTAGTAAATTTTTTGTACACACAAGAGTTGAACAGGGCTGTATTTTGTGAGTGTTCAATTATTTTCAATTATTGTTCTCAATCAGTTTATAAATACAAAAGAAAAATGTTTCCATCTACAGCAGAAGCCAAACTATTCAATTATATGTGAACAATGAACATTGCTGTTATCAGTTTTGGGCAGTAACGCCTTACTTTTATCACCCAGTAATAAGTAAAGTAATATTATTACTTTTTTAAGGAGTAATAAGTAACTAGTAATATATCACAATTTCTGAGTAACTTGCCCAACACAGCCTGTAATATATATTGTCAAAAAATGATGATTAAATGACTGACTGCAATTATGCTTGGATACATGTAGGTCAAGTGACAGCAATTTAAATGAAAACCTCTAAAGCTTTTCTCGAAACCCTTTACAGTGTGTCCACTGCCAGGTGCTGGACTTATGGGTCTCAGTAGGTGGACAGGACCATGGTGTGACCTGCTCTGGACAGCTGCTGACATAATGAGGCCAGTAAACAAGCATCTGTCTCCCCCACTGAAAAGCGAACCATCTCAGACCAGGTCATTTCTTTTCCTTTCTCCCTCATTGTCAGCGTAAGCTGGGATGCTGCAAATGGTCAAATCGGTGACCATAAAAATAAAGCAACTCCTATAAGACCATGTACATAATGGAACAGTATTTGCACTTCTCTCTCTTCCTTTATAACCACTTATACAAAGAGGAGCTTTTTCAGTACAGATATGCATACAATAATGTTTAGTTTATTTCCACCTGGGATCTACCATGTAGCATTGCCTTCCAGGTGGTAACAGCAAGTTAGTCAAGTCGGCAATCAGTTGTTGAACAGAAACTTTCTGCTAAGTTTGAAGACAATCTATAAAATAAACACAAATATCCAACAACTCTCATCCTTCCAGGCTGACAGAGCCGCTGAGATCCCAGTAGATTATGTTCTTATATTCACCAGCCTCAAGTACTACATGTGCCAAAACTAGAATCATATTGGACACCCATGAGTGGAAAAAATGCATTATGGATGAATAATTTGTGATAAGACTGGGTTTGATGATCACAAAGCAAAGTAACAACCTGTGCATGAAGTGACCAACCAAGTCTTTTGATGTACTGTTATTGTCATATAGATATAATGTAGTTTCCATTTATTATGGGTTTGTGTTTGTTTATATGCATATTGATTCAGTGAGCCAGCTGGATTGCCTTTTTAATACCAACTTCTCATTAAGATTACAGTATCTGTTTATTGTGTTAGTGAACACACTGTCAGGTTCATAATTATCATGACTATTTTTGAACCTCATTAAGAGTCAAAGAGGCTCACCAAAGACCATCACACTTTTGTCTCTTAAATTCATATCTCAACAACACTGTGACCATACCTTCCTTTAATGCCGCATTACTTGATACATCACAGTTTGCATTGGCCTATATATGTCTAACAATTGAAAAAGAAAAACAGAGGAATATATATATAACAGTGTGTTGTATACACACCTATATTGTCAATGTCAAAGGAAGCATCCCACAGTGCAAACTGCACAGCTGTTTGATTTTCTTTTAAATGATCATTTTCGTTGCACCTGGGTGCCTTTGTATCACAGTGACACCACCCTTCTCAGCAGAAGTGAATCAGTGGTGGGTATGGGAACTAATATTTTAAAACTTTGACATGTGATCCTGAAAGAAGGTGACACTGCATCTTAAGATACACATATATAAATGAATGTTGCCACTAATGGCACAAATTACATCTTTTGCAGTAAAATAGAGGAGTTTTGCTTTCTGTAAGGGGGGGAATCTGAACTGGGGAGATATATTGCTCCAGAAGACAATAAAGAGGGATGAGGTTGTTGGTGAGTGAGGGGAAGGAGAATTGTTGAGTCTTTTCCTGTAGCATGAGTCACTGTTGGCAACCTGACTCTCCAGTCTGATTACCTTGTTGAGCTGGCTTTTGGCTTGGTGGCGTTTGGTCTATATCCTCTCCTGAGCGCCTGCTCCATGATATTCATGAGGTTTCTGAGCTCCCGACTAATCCTTGATGCAGCAGTGGTGAAAGTCACATTTGACATCTTTAGAATATATCAATTGGTATTAAATATCATGAATAAAAAAAAATGTTTGTCTCGCCAGATTGACAGTATTTGTTTGTCTTGAAATCATTTAATCACTCAACCAAAGCACTCCTTTAGTTAAGAACTGGATGTCTGTAGGCCATGGTAGTTCTGGATATCCACGATGACACATTATATATTTAAGGTATTTATTAAATACTTGCAAATTTGACACATATGTAAATACATTTAAGCAGTGTTGGGCAAGCTACTTCGAAAATGTAGTGAGCTAAGTTACTAACTACTCTACATTAAATGAAGCTTCACCTCACAGAAGCTACCCACCAGTGAAATGTAGCAAGTTAAGCTACAGCAATGTGGCAAAAGTAGCTTAGTTACATCTAAGCTACTTTTAATTTTGTAGTTAAGTTATTATATATATGTGAGCTAAAACAGACACACAGAAACTCTCTTACTTATTGGCATATCATTGCAGCTAAATGTATTTTCTCATGCAACAAACAGAGAACCATTATTGTTTGTATAAAGTAACTAACTAACTAATTAAATTGCACAGAATTAAATTTTTTTTATTGTTTATATGTGAATTTGTGCTCTGGCAACATTGCAACCTAAACATTCATGGCAATGGGCGAGATAGAGAGAGAGAGATCTGCGTTTCTGCCACTACATGTCAAAGTTTCCTCCTTACTAGAAGATGAGGTGGCCAGGCTGGACCCTGATCCTTCTCACAAGAGGTGTTACAATAACTATCACAGTAGAAAGTAAACTCAATCGCGCGTGTCTTTATTCCCCTGCAGCAAAGTCGCGGACATCAGCCCAGTGATGGGTACGTGATGTCACCGTCACGCGGAAGCGCTTCTGCCGGCTGCACGTACAGGTCCGTGTGTCGCGGTGGCCTCACTTACTGATCCTTCAGAAATGCTTGAGAAAATGTAGCGTGTGTGGAAGCTACCGCGCTACTCTGTCAATAAAAGAGCTTCGTTACTGAAAAGCTATTTGATTCAGAAAATAGCGACACTGCCACCAAGCTACTGAGAAATGTAGTTTAACTAGTAACGGTGCTACTTGTAGCGACAGTACTGTCCAACACTGCATTTAAGAATGAATTTTATCAGTTTAGTACAGGTCAGGAGTGCTCTATGTGTAATGACATATTGATGAGACTGTATAAGAGCTTAGGAGACATTAAAAAAACACTTTATACAAGTGTAAAGTAGAAAATCTAAAAACTAAGGCTTTGCGGGGGGTTCAGGCTGTAGAGAGAAGGCCACTGCAGCATTTAGGAGGTATAGAAGCGAAGTTGGGGCTGGGTGGAGTGCTAACCAGAGAAGGAAGGGCCAAGCAAGAGAGGGAAGCAGAGCGTAGAGTACGAGCGGCGTGCAGAGCTGGAGCATCGCCTGGAGGTATGTGGGGGTGCGGCTCGCTCGGCAGCGCTGTATGCCTGTGCCAGGGTTTACAATCCATTACGAACAACCACAGGCAGCCAGTGGATGGAGCGATGCACAGACATTGACAACACAGCAGGCAGCAAAGTCTGTGGGTCTATGTTTTAACCAAAATGTGGTTATGCCTTTGCTGGTTAGATCATTACTGGGTGTAAGTCAGGAATGTGATGGCCTCTTAACATGCAACATTATTTGGCAATAGAGGCAAATATCACACAGATTTTTTTCTAGTCAAGTCAAGTCCATTTTTTATATAGGTAAGTATAACAAATTTGCCTTAAGGGACTTTACAATCTGTAAAGTTTATGACACCCTCTATCCTTATGGTGACTTCTATTTACCTCGGAAATCGGAGGTTGTAGCTGGGAATGATGTCACACCCGAGTTGACGGTGTTCCAGATACAAGTGGGAAAACCTCACTCGGACAGCCATTGTTTACAACTAGCAAGGTTAGGCATTGTTGATGCCATTGTTACGGAATTTATGCATACTAAACACAGTATAGCAACACAACCACAGACAGCAGTTGGACAGCATTTTGTGTACGACCATCTTGGATCCCAAAGTTGGAGTAGTGCAGCTCTCCCGACTTTCCAAGTTGGAAATCCGACTAAAGTGAAGGTTCCCTTTGAAATTTTCAACATTTAACTCGGAAATTCTGACTTCCCATGTCAAATGGAAAGCACCATTAGACCCTTGATTTGGATTAAATCCCCCTCCCAAAAAAGCTTTTAACAAGGAAAAAATGGAAGAAACTTCAGTAAGAACAACAGATGAGGGATCCCTCTCCCAGCATGGACAGATAGAATAGACCGACATTGTAGTTAAACAATATAGTATTGACATTCATGGTGGCACAGTTATGAATAGATTGTAACATAAATGAGGAATGGAACCGGGAAGACGTTGAGCAACTTCAGGTGTCACCAAACAGATAGGCCCTGAGCCACTCGACTCTTTTATCTTTTCACAAAATGTCATCTTTATGAATAAATGTGATAGCCTTTGTTTTGTGCTTCTGTTGAGTGCATTTTATAAATAAACACCTGCATGAGGCCCACTACTCACAACATCACACTCTTCTTGCTGTCTTTTTTTTTCAGCAGCACACCACTGTCTAATGAATATGACAGCAAGAAATATGTGATTTTGAGAGGAACTGACTGGCGCAGACGAACGCGCTTTTGAACATAAAATTTAATCAATTAGAAAATTTCTGAAATTCCATGACCCCTTCAGCATTCACATAAGGATGGATAAATAGTCTGGTAAAATAGGATCTCCATTCTAGGGACCAAAACCTTTATCCGAACTGTATTTTGTTTTGCCAACATATAAACGTAGACGATTTCATTTATGAGAAAGTTTGTTAAAATTGTTTCACAAATGAAAGGATGGGTAAATTATTTGAAGATTTGTATGCTGTTACTGTATAATACAGATTTTTGTTCAAGGTTCTTTTTCTCTCTCTGTGTACTCCA